GTGTGACTCACTTTTAGTTTGTCTTTAGAAGGCTGTGGGTTTGGTTTAGTTAAGTTTGGAAATTCCACGAGTATATCTTGGAATTTCGCTGTTGTTACTGGGGGAGTTTGAATCAAGTTAAGAGAGTTGATGTGACTTTCTTTGCCTTTTGTGTAATACGAAGTTTCTTTTAGTGTTAATCGCCGTTTCTTGGTGTCAACTAGAAATTCGTATCTCTAGAAAGTCCATCCCCAGTATTGCCAGATCTAGGTCGGCTACCGTGAAAACCCAAGGGAATTGCCTCCTGAACCCCAAATCTAGGGTTAAAGTTTTCTGCCCAAATGTCGCAATTTTAGTTTTATTTGCAGCTTGAAGTGTAATTGATGATGTTTCTCGACTAATCTCAGTTTTATTTCGAGGGATGATGCTAAGAGCAGCGCCAGTATCCACCAAGAAATTCAAGCCCGAGTTTCTGTCTCTAACATAAAACAAGCGACTGTTTAGGCGCCCCTCCTCAGTCGTCGCGACCTGGGGAGGGGTTACTCGTTTCCCGCTGTCTTAGAATTATGCTTAGGCCAGGCGCATGGTTGCATGCACTTGGTTGAGTTGACACCAAACTTCCAGTGGTACCAACAAAACTGCCCAGATTGTCTGGACATTTGTGACTTGTTTTGTGACTTGGATCGTGGTCGTTGTGGTGACCTGCTCCTGTTTCTATGACCCATTTGCATTCTGGTGACAGCCTCAGTGAGACTCTTAACACTTGCAGTGAGTCCTTCTATTACGGGGTCTTTTGCTGATTCTACTTTTTGTGTGTGATTTATTGTGCCTGATCCAGTTGGAGGACCTCTTTCCATTATTCTGTCGGCTGTACGCGCTAAATGAGATAATGAGGTTTCAGGATCCTGTGCATCCAAACAGTGTTGGACGTAGCATGGGAGAGCTTGTATCCATCCTTGTTTTAGGACTGCTTCACCCACTGTGTTATCACCCACTAAGACTTGGCGGTGACGTAAAAACTGTGACGGCGACCGATCACCTAGTGTTTCACCTTGAAAAAGTCTTTGGATTCTTTGACTATCTGATAATGATAAACGGTTCATTATCTCTCGTCTTAAGATGGTGTATGGTTGTGGTGATGGTGGACTTAAAATCAAGTCACGGACTTCTTTGGCGACTGAAGGAGGAAGGATAGAACACAAGTCTCTATAGCGAATCCCTTCAGATTTGATATTGTGTCTCGTGAAATAATGCTCTAGTTGAGCAAACCACAACTCAGGATCACTACGATCAAATTCTGGAAGTCGGGATTTCGTAGTCATAACAGTGTCTATCTCCACTGGTGACAAATCCTCCAGATTATGGGTTTCTATTGAGTCTGACATGAGGTATGTGACAAATATAGCAATAAAGTTAGCACAAAAAGTGGTTACTATAACACGAATAACTTAAGATAATACGGAATAAACTAGTTATATACTCAAATTAGTTTACAGATAATCAGGTCTACTTTTACGATTAAGTAAAAAAAATGTTAATAACAGAAATGAGGTTAAATTTGTGTTCAAAAAGGGCTCACCAGTTTCGTGCCTTAAGGTAACCCTTGTGCTATTGATAGAAGAAACCAGAGAAGTAGTGAATAGGTCTTTATTTCGATCTTCGCGCAGTCACAGTGGGGCGTGGGATTATCTGTTCAGACAAACAAAGGCTCTCAACATTCAAGATAATAGGGAATATAACGCTTATGAAAAATAAGGAAGTGAATGAATACTTGAACAATACTGTTTTGGCATAAGCTTGGTTGTTTGGGGTCAACTTTTAACCAACCAACCTGAGCTGTTACAAATTCACGACCTTCGACGTAGTGTTGAAAGTGCCGTACAGCACAATACATAGCTAGGAGTTCCCCACCGAATGTGTTGTACCTCGATTCGGTGTCTAGCAACCTTCTAGAGAAAAATGCCAAGGGTTGCCAGGAGTTGTTAACCCATTGTTGTAAGACTCCTCCGATTGCTGAGTCGGATGCGTCTACTGCGATACTAATGGGTGCTCGGGTGTCCTGATGTGCAAGCATTGTTGCTTTAGCGATGAGTTCCTTAATTGTGGCGAATGCTTTTCGTGCAGTGTCGTCCAAATTAATAGATTTTGCATTTCCACGAAGTTGGTCGGTAAGAGGCTTCACGAGTAACGCGTATTTAGGTATGAATCGTCTATAGAAACTTACAAGGCAGTTAAACGTTCGTAGTTGCTTGATCGTGGTCGGTTCTGGGTAATCCAGAATTGCCGCCACTTTGGTCCTAAGGGGTCGAATGCCTTGAGCATCTATAGTGTGTCCTAGGAAGTTTAATGAGTCGGTTCGGATTTGGCATTTCTGAACGTTTACAGTAATGCCATGTTTTTGTAGTCGTTCGAAAACAAGATCCAGATGCTTGAGATGTGATTCTCTGTCCGGACTTGCGATTAGGCAGTCATCAACATACTCATGTACGAAGTTGAGACCTCAAAAAACGTCGTCTATGAATCTTTGGAATGTTTGAGAAGTGTTTCTTAGACTGAAAGGCACTCGCAAAAATTCATAGAGTCCAAAGGGAGTAATGACAGCTGTTTTCGGTATATCGTCTGTGGCCATGGGGATTTGGTTATACGCTTTAACCAAGTCGATTTTCGAAAAGACAGTTGTACCTTTCAAGGTAGCTGTCAAATCGTGAATGTGAGGCAATGGGTAACGATCGGGAATGGTTTTCGCGTTCAATCGCCGATAGTCACCAGTTGGACGCCAATCGTTGCTGTCCTTTTTGGGGACCATGTGAAAAGGAGATACATCTGTGCTATTTGATGGTCGTATGATTCCTAAGCCTATCATGTGATCGAACGCGTTTTTCGCCAACCTTAGCTTTTAAGGGGCTAGTCGTCGTGCTTTAAAGAATGCAGGTGGTCCTGTAGTCGTGATGTGATGTGCAACGTTGCTGGTTACACACGGTAGTTTCGGCTGCGTTTGATGAATCCCAGGATACTTATCGAGTGGCGGTTGATAAAATCGGTCTATCGTGTGTTTAATTGTGACTGGGGATAATCTGCAACCAGAAAAAGAAGTTACGCAAACGGATAACTTAGTGTTTCCGTCTACTAGCCTCCGTAAACGTACCTTTTGCCATACGTAGCGATAGGTTTTCCGTTTGCCGCCTGTAAGTTTGAAGCCGATTCATGAATCCGGTCGTTGGGATTCGCTGGGAGAACGCTAACTTCTGCGCCAGTGTCGACGAAGTAGCCAACTCCCGTTGTCACATCTGTGACGTACAGCAGACGGCTATGTTCGCCGGCTACGGTTGCCGTTAACGCGTGCCGGCTTGGAAGTTTCCCGAGTTGTCTTTCGAGTCAGTCGGTTTTGAGTTGGGAAAATTGGAGGGTTTTTTGCAATTTCTGGAAGACTTTCCATACTGGTTATGATACCAACACCAGTCGGGATTATCCGTCTCTCGTGGTCTAGAGACAGATCGCTTACGTAAAGTGCTTCTACGTGGGGTGTGTGATCGCTTACGGTCGTTGCGAAAATTAAGATAACGCGTAAGTGTATGACATAACTCGGTTATATCATTCCGAGTCGTTTGAGGCTGTTCTTTGACCAAAAAAACCTCGTTAGTAGAAGATTTCGTAATTTCTGAAATACAATCGGCAGATGCAGCCAGTTCGTCTAAGGCGTTGTTCTAAAACGAGACCAGAACCGCTTGCATCTTTTGGGGAAGTTTAGACAAGAAGAGTTGTTTGAATAGGCCTTCGTCGAAAGTTCTTAGGCCAATAGCCTCTCTCATCCTTTGCAACATGTCCGTCACAGAACCGTGTTGCAGGTCTATGTTATTAAAGAGTTGGTCTAACCTTTGTCGATCGGTTAGGTTTCCTCGTTTAAGAATGGAACGTTTTAAGGTTTCGTACGGTCCTGAAACATCACTAGTAAACATACTGGGTGTTACGTACCTGTTGAATTCCCGCGGTAGTGCCTTGACTACTGCGAGGAATTGTGCACGTGTGTCGTTCACGCCGTGCTCGTGGAAGTCAGCTTCTGCGTAGCAGAACCAGGCTTCGTTATTGTCGGCCCAAAAAGGCATGAGTTGGAACGAGGGTGGGGACATGGTCTTAATCTTAAATACCTTAGGAGTCTGTTCGGTCATAGGGGAATACTAAGTACGAGAATACGAGGGAAAAATATATAGATATCCCGAGACACGGGGAAAAATATCACAATGTATAAAAAATTAAAACAAAGCAATGATATATAAAATCCCAAAATGGAACAGACTCACAGTTTACGATTTGGTGTATCAGATCACGTCGGGCTCACCAATGAAGATGGCACAGGTATTCAGTATTTGACAACGCTTTTACCAGTAACACCTTCCAATATAACTCGTACCCACCAAGAGGAATCAAAAGACAGAATTGAGGAGATTAGAAGTTGTATTTGACGATTGCCAATGTATCGGAACTATCTGATCTAATCTGGCTAGCGATTGCAGTAGCAGTTGAGCACGGCGTTCCCACACATGATCTGGTGCGGATGCATGACCGAGCGCCTTCAGCTGGGTGAGTCCATTAAAACATATGGTCAGCATCCAATGTCGAAAAATTACAGAGCTATTTATTCTGGGGAATTACTTACCGCTACAGGAGTGTTAACGAAGGCGTCGGACGAAGGCATATGTTCCATATACGTGTTTTTCGGTGATATATCACGAGGGTGTTGTAAAAGAGAAGAAAAAAATAAAAGGTTGAGAAGAAGAACAAATAGCGTTCATGACTAGTGAAGCTTAGTAATTTGTGATGGAATAAATAAGATCATGAGAACTTTGACTTATTTCCTTAAATGTAGCTAAACATGTTAAAAATATTGGCCAAAAGTATGGTGACGAATGGACATATACTGTATACAATCCATTTATATATAAATAGAAAAGAATCAAAAGAGCTGAAAGTTTAAGTTTATGTTTCAATCTTCAAAGTCTAATTGTTTGTGCAGTTCCCTTTGCGGATTGTGTAGGCGGAAATTTGATGGTGTATGTTACCCGATGACTTTACCGACTACTGATGATTTGTACTCATGTTATGATAAACTAACCGACAGTTCTATAGATTTAAAGGAGGTTGTGACTGTGGTTTTCTAATATTTCGTCTATTATTAGAGAGAAAATGCCTACAAAACAGTACTTGTAGGTGTTAAAGGCGATGAAAATGCAAAGAGATTGTCAAGTCAGTTTATAGCAAGATTTAGCAAACTTTTCGAGAATCTACTGGAGGAAAGTTTCAATTGTTTTCTGGATTTATGTGACGACGACGATGTAAACGTTCGAAGTCAAGTGGTGCACGATTTGTTACAGTTTTGTAAACATGCACGGGTGTTCGTCCCACGTGTTGCTGATGTTCTCGTTCAAATGTATCAAACAGATGATAAGAAGGTAACTAATCTTAACTAGTGTGCGATGTTTAGGAGCTGAATGTAATTTCTTTGGCTTTGTCTCAACTACTTCATTCGGAGTCGAAAGCGACCTTACTAGGAATATTCAATCGACTTCTTTCAATGAATGCAGAAAATTCTAGAGAAAATACTCTCAAATTCCTATGTGAACGTTTAAAAAGTCTACCAGACAATGTATTAACCAGTGATCTGGAGTCTTTTGTGGTTGAACAAACTAATCGAGTGCTACATGATGTTTCTGAGGATGAGTTTCCAATGTTAATCTCTTTACTATCATCCCTGAAATGTATGTCTACACTGACTGGCAGGCAAAAACTAGTCGGCATGATCTCTCAACAAGCTTTGCAGGCCGTTCCTACATTCAATGTAAGTCAGTTCGAAGTTGTGGTAATATGTAAAGGCTAGTGATCGGGCATGTATAGCTCAAGTTCGGGAGAGTTGTAGACAGGCTGCCTTATGTATATCTGTAAGTAACTTTATTTTATAGATATTTCCTAAACAGAAAAACGTTAATGCTCATGACTTGTACATATACATGTTGGAAAAATTCCTACCACAATTTGGTGACTTTGCTGAAGACACTTTCGACGAACGGCTGAGCTTACTTCAGTTGACCGCAGAGCTACTGTTTTTCCCAAGTCAAGCACTTGCATCGATAAAGTCAGAGGATATAACAAAATATTTAAACTCTGCTTTTAATATACTGTCAATGTTCTTGCCTAACATCCCTTCGGAAGAAACAGCTGACAACGTGGGTCACAAATATTTTTTATTAATAATCTTTAGTTGAAACAGCCTTCTATAGAAAAACCAACATTAAACCAGATGGGTTTGAAGTTTTCGGAGTTAGAAGCAAGTTTGTTTTTATGCTGCCAGCTTGGATGTTATTATCCTCAATATTTTGGGGGGAAAGCGAATGATAATGAACCTGAGTTATCTGTTATCGAAGATGGAGTCGATAGATTACGTACTGTCAGACCTCGTCTCCAGTACTTAAGTCAGCTAGCACAAGATTATGCAACAACAATATCTGGTCAGTTGGATAAGAATTTACAGTCTGAAGAGAGCAAGCTTCGAATCATGGCTCACAGAGTGAGTTCTTTAGCTTTTCCAATAATCTGTTGAGGATATTTTATGGTCTCGGTTTTATTCAAATTGATGTTCAAAACTAAACAAAACGTCTCATTTAATAGGTAACTCCAATGTCACAATTAAGACTACTCTAATTTATACATATAGCTCAAATCAACAGCTATTCGTATCTTGAGCAGTGACCAGGTATGTTAAAAAACCATGTGACGTTATTGATGAAACCCTTTAAGTTTTATGGATGTGCTTCGGTCTGGGCACCCGGGCAGTATCGCAGCCCACACGCAATTAATGAACTGAACTGTCTATGATCATGGAAACTAATTCTCTTGCGTCAACGATCATTCAAATGATTCAATTATTATCATTGCTATTATTATTATTATTATTATTTACTGCGTCATTATTCACCCTCTTTTGTTCCTACTCTGTCTATACTTATTTTTTTCGACTTATACAGCAGCTCGTCTATGGTGGAAATTCTACTGTATCTAAACGTTCTCGAGTCACTGTCCGGTTGAAAATTGTATGTTACCACCGAATATGAGTACTGAAGCAGTTTTTCTGAAACCACGTGCGCCGTTCAAACTGGCTGCCTTCAACATTCGCATACTTATGCAGGTCGGACAACAGATAGGGCTAGCTATGTCTTTGGAAAGTCTTCATATCGATGTCTGCTGTCTATCCGAGACCCGTATTCAAGACTCTGGCGAAGTACTACAAATTCGAACTCCGTCTGTCGCTTCAAAAAGTTTGTTTTACATGCGCTTATCCGGGGACCCTGTGGCATCTTCGTCTGGTGTTGCTGGCGTTGGTGTCGCACTAAGCGCTAGAGCTGAGGCAGCACTAATCGATTGGTCCCCATTAACAGTCGGTTATGTGCTGTTAGATTAGAGAGTTCCATCAAAGTGAGAAGAAATCGGCGTGAGGAACGATGTCTCTTCGTCATCTCCGCCTATGCCCCGACAGATTGCAGCCCGGATGCAATCAACGATGAGTTTTACCACCAGTTATCTGTTCTTCTCCAGAAAGTGCGTTCGACAGATATTGTAGTGCTAGCCGGAGACTTGAATGCTCAGGTCGGGCATCTAGGCACAGAAGAGGGTCGTTTAGGGGGCCGATGGTGACTCGTTGGTCGCAAGTCAGATAACGGGGACCGTCTACTGCAACTGTGCACAGACCACAACCTGTTTCTGGCTAGCACTAACTTTCGGCACAGTTATCACCGACGTGCCACCTGGCGTCCTTCCTCTGCATCTCAAGCCTGGACTCAGATTGATCACATCGCGATCAGCTACCACTGGCGTGGTTATGTACAAGGCTGCCACTCCTTCTGGAGTACCTATCTGGACTTTGACCATGCCTTGGTCTGCACCAACCTTGCCTTACTTTTCAGTGCACAACGAAGTGACCGCCATCAACGGATTGATATTAGCAAGCTGGTTGCAACTTCTGTTGCAAGTAAGTATCGAACCGAGCTAGCCTCTAGGCTAGCTACCACTCCACCGAAAAGTATAGATGAGCGTTGGTTGCAATTTCATGACGCCATGAAAATGGCGGCTACAGTCAGTTGTGGGTTTGCGAAACGTCCCGCTTATAAACACTGGGTTTCTTCTGGTTCCTTACAACACATTGAAGCCCGTCGGTCTACTCCGGGTGACCGTGAGTTTGACCACAAACGAAGGTTGTTACGTAGTGAAATTGTGCAAAGCTTGCGTAAGGACCGAGAAGCCTGGTGGTCGGTGCGTGCTAATGAGCTGGAAGCAGCAGCTGCATCTGGTAACTACCGGAAGCATATATATTTGCCGCATTCCTACACCAATATATATGTGTTCAAATAAATAAATAAATAAGTTTTATGGTGATATCTATTGTGGCCTATTTGTCGTGTGCAAGTTAATGTATTTGACTTCAAGACAATTTTTACCCCATGAGTCATGATAATACCATGCTAGCTACCTTAACTACTAAGCCACAACAGGAGGTGGGATCAATAAATGAAGAAAAGTAGGTAGAATTTACAGAAATACGAACGTAATATGCTGGGAATAGTCTCAGTATTAAAGCACTCGATTTGATCAGTAGCCATCTTTAGTCAATTTTTCATTTTGTGCCATCAGCTTTAAAGGCTTGCGTTGCTATCTACAGCTCAATAGATCATAGCTTTGCTTCTGATTACTAAAAAAAGATTAACTCAAGCAGTGTATTCTTCTAAAACCGAACCTATTGTGAAGACAACCTATTTCATACAGTGTAATTTGACCACTACTTATGTTAATTACCAAGCAACTGATTCTGTGTATGTTTGCAAACATTTCATGGCTTCGATTGGTAAATAGAATTAACCAATATCATTCAACACACCCCACTTCTGAAGGACTTATCTTCTTTGTATGGATCTTCTTAAACGATTTGTTTAACCTCATTTCTACAAAGTGAGCTAAAAAATGGGGTATATTCGGCTCAGTTAAATGTATTATTTATTTATTTGGACATATGAATATTGGTACAGGGCGGCACCAAATGCATATGCGCCGCACAACAACAATGAGGTTGTGAAGAGATAGAAGATGTAAAGTGCTTATAATGATAAGAAGAACAGCGAACAGAACTCAGTGTATGAGAGTGGAATAATAATGGTAATCATGGGAGAAACAGTTCAGTTAGCAAAAATATGACCAGAAAGAATCCTTTCAATTAAAGAAGTTACGTTCATTTTTTATGAAGAAAGTAAAAGACAGTTACGGCAAGATCGCCACTGGCTTCTATTACGAGACATATCTGATAACGTCTCTAGCCACTATGTTTCACCATCTGTAGGACTCCATCCAGGGAGTTGTGAAGGACCAACAGACGCCAGTTATGTACAGCTTTCCTTCATACCACCACACCATGTCATACACTGACCGCTCGACTTTTTCCAACCAGTCCCAATGTCGGAAAACAATCCACGACGTGGAATTCTCTGGGACGACATTTGTAGGATATGCCCAAGTCACCAAAGTAGATGTTTCAAGATAGTGCCGCCAATTGAATTATCGTCGCTATACCCGAACACACGATGCCGTACCCCCGCATTACTAACATGGTTTTGCCACTGGATTCAACAGTCTTTCAGAGACAAAGATTATCAAATACAGAGAGCCGTCTAATATCCTCAACTCAGAGATGTCAGGTTTTATAAGCATAAAGCAAAACTGCTCTCATTGACGTGTTGTGGATCTGACCTTTTACAGCCAGACTAACATTACGAATGTGTCAAAGATGGCCCAGATTGGCATAAGCCACTCTGGCTTTCACTATACGTGAATCGATCTCATCACTCACGCCACCACCAACACTTATACGGCTACCCAGACACACGAACTCGACTACTTTTATCTGCTCACTACCTAGGCTGAGTGCAGGATCAAGGTCCTGCCACTCTTGTAAAAGTACTTCCATAGATTAACTCACTTCAAACAAGCTTTCCGAAGCGACAGATGGAGAATGAATTTGTAGTACTTCACCAGGGGCTTGAATATGGATCTCGGGTAGACAACAGACATCGATGTTAAGACTTTAAAGATATGGTCAACCCTATCTGTTGTCGGATTTGCATTGGTGTGGGAACGTCGAAGAAGGCCAGCTTGGATGGTATATGCGGTTTCAGAGGGGTTGGTTCAGCATTCGAAGTTGGTGGTAGTATTCAACCTTCGACCAGTCAGTGACTTGAAATTGTCTATATAGAACAGGGTTTTCACCATAGGCGAGCTGCTGTATAAGCTGAAAAATAAAATACGCAAAATGAGAATAAAGGCGAGTACGTAAGGAACGCAGTATAAAACAAATAAAAAACAAACGATTGTAAATATGATTTGTTTGAATGAGCGTTGAAACGAAAGCAATTTTTCCAGTAGTAACTATCACTGATTTGTGTGGGTGCTGGGACACTGCTCGGGTGCCCAGGTCGAAGTAGGTGATTTTCTTGGGGGGCCACACTCCTAGCTTTTCACTGACAAGGCAGTGGAGCAACGTTGGGAGATGAAGTCCCATGGTAACCGGTGGCCAACAATAGTTTCGTACGCCATCCGTTCCCCCAGGATCCCGTAGCCTATGTGCACCATTTGTTTGAAATGAGGGTTTCCCAACTCCCCTAGGTGGACCCCCCATATCCACCGACCCGGTTAACGCGCCGGACATTCGCTTTTCGTCTCCTCAATTTCCTCAAAAACACCCACTTTGCGAAAAGTCAATTAGTAGGACTTCGAAGGCAGTGGCTGTATACGCGTGGGCATGTGAGGGCATTTCGATAGGGATAGCGGGCTCTCCCCATCCACCTTGGGAGTATTAAGTCGTTGTCAAGTTAGAACCTGGCATGAGTGTACGTCGGTCTGATTTATCACACTTCACTTAAACAGCGAGAAAATATCAACATAACTAAATACAGATACTAGGATTCATGATAAAACCTAGCCACATGATTGTAAGATCAGAGTTTAAGTGACAATCATCCCAGTTTTTTTAGTCGTATAGATCAATAAACTTTGCTTATTACTGCGTTCTTGATAGGAAGACGTGTTGTTGTATTGAAGAAAATTTTGTAATTTTGTATTGCTTTAATTTTGAATCTGATGAGTATCAGAGTGTATTTACAAGAAGAAGAATAAATGTTATAGATTTTTATAAGTAAAATTGTATATGATGAAGTTGGAAAAAACTGCTGGTAAATGTTCTGAAGGTAAAAACTGAGTGTATATGCAAGTTATATATCCTCAACTTAATTTTTGTGGGCTAATTTTATCATGAAACTTACACAGAACGTGGGTAATTCCAGTGAATATATATAAGTAAATAAGCAATTGTTTTTACATTTGATACACAGTGCTCATTTTATCGGAAAAAGGACGATCTTTCGTTCTGTGGAGCACTTTAGTCTCAAATCACTATGACTTGCAATGCATTTCATAACTATGTACATATTTTCCAATTAATCGAGAGTTAATTTACGTGTAGTATCAGTTAATTTGTTTACTTGTTTCTTTTTTGTTAGCTTATGATGAACATACAGCGAATGATACGGTGCTTTTTTCACAACCCTCCAATGTTCAAAACCATCAATGTAACATTGTCGTGGATTCAATCACCTGTTACTTCGATTCCAGGTACAAAGCGTCCTCTTTCCACGGATTCGGGTAATCACCATAGTACAGGTGTTCGACAACCACGTGGTGATAGACTATTGTATACTCCACCAATCGGTCAGTGGTCTCGTGTTGATACTATTGATTCGAATAAAGGCAGATTTCGATGTGGTCGTAGTGGTCGGGGGCGTGGACGGAACTTCTAAATTGACATCGTTTGTTTTGTGTTACTTACCCCTCTTTAATTGCTAGCTGTAAAATATTCTCTAACCAGCTGTTGATGCTATTCTGTAATTCAACACATTTTAATACTTGTATTTTTCCTTTTTGTACATGTATGATATTAGTAAACAACATCTCATAATGCTTGGTTTTAATTTTTGTTGTCAGCTGCGCGCATCCCACAGTATTTTAGAAAGCTACTCAGTATGTGAATGTAACAAGGCAACTTGCTGCAACTGGCATTCTAGTCAGGACACATGTCGACTTGTATTCCTTTAGTAGCTTTTTTCGTGAAACGTGGCACCAAAAGAATAATGTACACCAACAAGGAAGTATAAGCAAGAAGAGTCAGAATAATAAAAAATAAATATGCCTCTTATATGGATATAAATATCGTCTATAACATTAACTAGGCGGATAGTTCCCGTTCATCTGGGTCATGATGTCATCCGACTGCGCAAATTGAGTCAAGTGGTTTTCTGAGGAGACAATTCTCAAATTTTGACCTCAAGATGTAATCCGGAACTGAATGGAGCAGCGTCAAGGAATACAATCATATGGTAGCCAATGCCCAAAGTTGGCTCATATGGTATTCGTTCATCCGCCCAGGACCCTTTGACCCATGAGGATACTGAATTCGAAATCAAGGGTTTCCAACTACCGTAGGCAGACACTATATATATACAATAATTCAGTTTAAGCTTCATAAATTTGCGACCTTAGCCACACCATGTTAATGTAGTGTGTGAAACTTCTTTGCTTGAGGGGATAAATGAGAGCAGTTGGATAATGAGAATATGTTCTACACACTCAGAAGTATCAGGGTAGTTAGGGACGGAATAATATGAATTTCGATAGTCGTTAATTTATTTCAAAATGCATCAGTAATTTTTAGCATAATTCAGATCACAAAGTAATGTTCTTATAGAGTCCGTGGATGATCTGGACCTATTGATATCCCGGGATAATCAGTTATTAGTTCTAAGCCAAATTATGAGTAGGATATGTTGACGGATGTACGTTGTTGACCAATATTCAGCCTAATTACCCAAGAGGGACAGACGGGTCAATGGTAAAAAAATCCGGCTTTATTTTCTGGGGACATCTATATATTTTGATTCGAGTTAGGCAATAAAGGCTTCATATTCGATTTTAGTTTTCTTACTCAAGTAACTGGGTTCGCGCATGAAAACCATATATACAGGTTTTCGACTTAAACGACCATCCAAAATAAAATATTTAGAAACTGGTTTGTATGACTATATTTTTAAGATATAGAACTAGTATGAAACATCCCGAGTTTGTTATAAAACTACACTAGTTCTGTCTTAATTTCTGTTACTTCAATTGTAGCACTCCGTTTCAAGTGTAAACCTTGTCTTTTTAGTTTTTATATCCTGTTACTTATTATCAATAAGTAGCTTGAATCTGCCGTTCAATTTTCACTCCTAAACTTATGTTAATAAGTAGAAAAATCTTGTTAAAATAAATCTTAGCAAATTTTAGCCTTCAAATACGTTTAAATGTAGATATCCATTTGTCCTTACATGCGTTTACATTGCATGTTTTGAAAATTTCTACTTGTTGAATTTGAAAAAAATCAGGAAAGCGCAAAATTCGACGGTTCTACTGTTTGAAATCTCATCCTACGCAATGATCTTAAAGCCAATAAAACTGGAAGTCAAGAATGATGGGATGTGTGCGCATATTTAAATTATAGGCCGTTGTCATAATTTGTAGGGTTCAAGCTGTCTATTTTTCGTAGGAAATGCTCAGCACGGCGTACTTTGGTTCAGACGGACTGAGTGCGTTCATTTAAGTATGTGTTCAGTAAAACCACTAGGGTGAACATCAATGTTGAGGACTTATGGCTATTTATTTTGGGGATTTATCTGTCACTACGAATTGGTCCCAGTAGTACTGTTTGATTTTGGGAATCAACCTTTGATTTGTTTGACGTTTGTGCACCTATCAATCGCTTTAATTTCTTGAAATAAAGTGTAGTCTCTTAAAGAAGGTAACAATAATGTCACTTCTACTACTGTCTTCCTGACATGAGATATAGATCTATTTAATAAATCAGCCTGTGATAAACAGTCGAAAGAAGGGTAATATTTAAGTTACATTTAGCTTCATTATATATTGGAGCTCACTTAGTAACTATTGATAACAAGGGAGCTTTGAACAGTTGTTTCAACCTAGTATGAGATTACTCACCTGTGAACGGGTGGATTAAAACTCGGTGGTCTATTTACAACACGTCCGATGAGAGACAGAATGGAGTGGAATTTGATCCCTGGAGGGGTTGCTAGTACTCCTTAATAAGGAGTATGGTACTTAGATCAATCGGGTGATATCAAATAATCACAAAAAATTAAATTCATTCCAATATAATCACAATTCTCGCAATCAAAGTTTTATTTACTAGCTTGGATATTGATGTTTTAAATTGAGACTCCAGGGAATACATCGTATTTAAAACTAACTGGTAAAGAGTCACTATTTTCTACCAAACCTTGTATTTCATTATTGATCATCAAGAAAATTTATTCGTTGACTGACACATCTTGTGTTTGGATTCCTAGACACCGAATTCTTAACCCAAGGAATCTTCGACTCTTGAAACCCGAACAGAAAACAAAAGGTAGATAGTCGGAAGATGTTGTTGTTTACGAAATTGAGAGGACGAATAGCAAATGTCCGGCACTTTAACCGGGTTGGTGGATATGGGGGATCCACCTAGGGGAGTTGGAAAACCCTGATTCCAAACAAATGGTGTACATGGGCTCCCGGATCCTGAAGGAACAAATGGCGTATGAACCAATCGTTGGTCACCGGCTACCATGGAACTGCATTTCCTTACGTTGCTACACTGCCTTGTCGATTAGACCTTTCGGTCAGACGCTCCGGGTGTGGCCTTCTAAGAGAACTACCTGCTTCCATTTGGGTACCCGTGCAGTATCGCAACGCTCACATAAATCGAATGATCTATGTAGCGCATATATATTTGCTGCCTCATTGTACCAATGTTTATGTATTTAATAATAATAATAATAAATAACAGTCAGAAGATACTTTAATTCCACGGTTAGTTAATGCACAGAAAACAAGGATATTTACGATATCATATGTGACCACGGGCCTGTGAAAAGTTTGGAAAAAGTGTTAAAATTGGCAACAGTTTCGGTCAGTCAGTGCAAGATAGCAATTTACGATATGGTTTCAATGAAACTCAACGATTTTCAGAACCCCAAAATGAAAGTTTACAGTATAACGGAGTGGTCCATTTTATCTCATGTTTGTAACATGATTTGCAATATAACGCACGTAATTTAACTCTCGTTAGCTCTTCCAATTTTGCTGCCGGTACCAAGCCCGGATAAAGGGGGGTCGGGTGTGTGGTTAGCGACCGTATACCACTTAAGAGAATCTTGCCAAAAATATCGTCAACCGGAAATATCGTTTGAACGATTTAAACCCCACCGAGTGAGTTGGAGGATCTTTATTTAGAAGAGTTATGATGCCTAGTGGTGAAAGCTGAAATTCTTCGGAAATCATGAGGTTTACGTCCCTTTTAACAACCTGAACAATAACTAATATTGGTGGGAAGAATGCCTGAATAGTGTGGGAGGTCGCGAAAACCAGTCACGAAACTACAAAAACGAAAAGGTACAACTTTACCATGCTTGGAATAAGTGAAATCAGCATGGACATTAGATCTGTCTAGAGCGGAGAAGCATCAGGATCAGAAAACATACCAACTGAAGCTGAGATTCAAGAACAGAGAGTTTTACAAATTTAATTTAAATGTGACATGAGAGTTTGATACAAAACTGAAAATTATTATCATTCCCAAAATGTTGTTTTATAAAATACAGAAAATACAAATTTGATAATTATAAACAATCAACTATCAATATACAGTCGGTTACAGAAACATGAACTATGGTGAGTTCAAACCCAGTTATATCCGAAGCAGAATGTTTAATTTGTGGATTGTCCAATTGATAAAAATACGATATCTTATCAAATATACATGAAATTGTGAAAGTACCAGAGGATGAAGAAACAGAAAATTCTGTGAATAACACTCCAAGTCCAGGATTAAATGAATCTCTATTAGCCCTGAATAATTTTCAAGCTGAACTCCAACCATAACAGACATATGGTTCACGTGATATTTATTTAGAAAGCTTGAGAGATTTGTATGTAGAAAATGATCGGAGCAACACTATGAATACAAGTGTATCAAGTGAAATTCATAATCATTCTGATACAAATGCTTCTAAATATAAGTTGTCCTAATGATTCACATAATTCTTTTTAATGAAATTCCTCATAAAAACAAGGAAAATGTATCGAATGAATCAAATCCCAATAGGAACTTTAATGAAACTTTGTTAGTTTCTGATTGTTCTAATGACTTATTATTTCCCAATGAAATTCTTAAAAAATTTAAAGGAAATATCTCTGAATGATTTCATTAATGGATCAATGTTAGAGCACCATTGAAAACCTGGAATTACTGGACATCCGTTTCGGCCTAGTATGGAAGTGCGCATCCACGATCCCACACACAGCACTTTTGGTCGCGTGCAAATGCTCAGGAGTCCCACACTAGAATGAAACGGACGTTCAGTGCTTCCATATTTTCAGTGGTGGTCTAACATTTATCCATTTACGAAATCAATAAAAACTGGACAATATCCATAACCCTATACTGGAAATATTTCAGAAGAATGATATCCTGATGATGTCATACCAGATGTTATTTGTCTTCATAATGTATTTGTTTCTGGTGGAAAAGTTTATCATTATGAAGCACAAGTCCTAGATAAGTTTAAACCTGATTACAGTGCAGATGTTTACATTTGAATAATATCTAACACGAATAGTACATCATAAAATAACCTAATATATGTATTATGGTAGACGTGACTAACCTATCGAAGTAATTATTACCCATATTTTGTTGTTCAGTGCTCTCTTCTTCTGTTTTATTTACTCTAGTTGTAGATGGTTATAATTGATTTGTTATGACACAGGAAATGAGCTTGAATACCGCATTCATACTTCAAATGGATGTTCATTTCAAAAGAATAATTAGTTCTCAGTTGATACATTTCATTGATGGAATACATGTG